GAATGGTCAACGTTACCTAGATTTCCTTGTGCATCAATTACCACAACTGTTAGAAGATGTTGATCTTGAAACCAGAAATGCACTGATATTCATGCACGATGGGGCGCCGCCTCACTTTAGTGCTGCAGTAAGGGACCATTTAAACGAGGTATATCCTAATCGCTGGATAGGTCGCGGTGGACCTATTCATTGGCCTGCCCGAACTCCAGATATGAACCCACTTGACTTTTTCTTTTGGGGGCACTTGAAAAATCTTGTTTATTCCACACCTGTAACCACTAGAGAAGAATTAGAAGAAAGGATTTTTTATTGTGCAAATGAAATACGACAAAATCCTGAAATGTTATGGAGAGTGCAACAGTCTTCTGTTAAACGAGCTCGTATTTGTATAAGAGAAGGTGGAACTAATATTGAGAATTTATTATGAATTATATTAGTTACAAAATTTTGATTGTCATGCACTTTTCGTTTAGTTAGTTTAGTTAAGTCCAAATTCTCATAATTTGGAACACTGCTATTGCAAATTATTTGTCCTTTATTCTGATATGTAAAAGCCAACTACGATTAAACCTGTGTTTCTGTTAAATAAAATGTCTCAAATTAAACAGTACCGTTGTCTCTAAACTTGTTTTTCTACAAACGTCATTAAGGTATAATTTTAACGCATGCTGTCAGTCAATTTCATTTTATGATACTAGTGTTAAAAGTGAATTATTTTTAGCACTAGTGTTAAAAGTAAGTCATGTGATTTACCTTTAAGACCACTGTTATAAAATCACACTTTAGAAACTGTCAGTACACGTTAAAAATTATACAAAATTATATTTTATGGATATTCAACAAGTATACCTTTTTTACGTAAAATACCATAAATTTTTATAAAATGATGGAAAATTTGGGGTATAGTGGAACAAAAATTTTTTTTCTAGAAATTTTGGTGGGGGGTGCTTTGCCCCCGGGCCCCCATAATTATTATCGAGGATTTCATATTATCATCCAAAGCAGCTTCAAAAATTATAGATCCAGCCAAAAAATTTTCAAAATTTATTGAAAAATACAAAAGTTACAGCAAAAAAAACCATTTTTAATTCTCAACTTCAAGAGCTAATAACTCTACAGGGTGAGCCCGGAGGAAAAAATTTTATATGAACTTGTGACATTATTTTCTCATTATCTATCCATATCCGAGAGATTGCCCACCATTTCCGGGACACCCTGTACTCACCATTTGCTGCACACAAGCTTCAGCGCGACGTATCCAATTCGCCCGCACGCGTTGCAACATTGCCACGTCCTCTCGAATCGTATTGCAAGCTTCGGCAATACGATGTCACAGTTGATTGATGTCGCGAACTTCCGTGGAATACACAAAACTTTTCCCATATCCTCACAAACAGAACTCTAAAGGGGTGAGGTCCGGGGACCGGAAATTGAGGATTTCTTCATGTTCGTGAAACAACCATTCGCAAAAATCTCGACGTAGTGGAAAATTCTCAGGAGTAACCGCTAGAACAAGTTGAATATGAAATGGGTACAACTGAGCTTCTCGTAATGTCTGCCACACAGCAGGAGGTGAAATATTCACTTGCTGTGCGATATTTCTTCTGCTACGATGCGGATCTTCTTCGACGAGATCTAAAATCATCTCGTCGACATTTAAGATTCTTAGTGGTCGCCCTGGGCCACCGTCGCGACCTCGACGCGGTTGTACTTCACCGGTGTCCAAAACTCTGCGCTACAGCAACAAATGTTCGCGGTGCGGAGGCACGTCGTTCAGGGTATCTTGAACGGTACACTTGACAAGCTTTGTGGGCATTTTCGTTTGCTTCGCCATAAATTATGAGCATATCATAATATTCGCGATTGCTAAATAAATGCGCTACTTTCAAAAGAAAACTTAAAAATACGGCTATTAAATGTACTCTCGAAAAACAGCACAGCAATCACTACAACAATGTATTACAAACTGACTTTCGAATACAGTGCGGCTTCATAAGAAACCTACAGACTTGTAAAAAGTGTTATAAAAGTACTCGCCGAGATAAAATTTCAGCAGTTCCAAAACAGGTTTGAACACATTTTTAATTAGCTTTTTTCTATATGACCTTACACTTCCGATACAAGTTTTTGACATCAGTTAACTCAGTTTTTGCTCCTTTTTCACCCCTTTAAATTTTTGACATAAGTTCATTAACACCCTGTATAGTCTATCGTTTTTGAAATTGAAAATATACATTTAGCTGTTTTGTATTTTTAGGATTTATTAGAATAAATATATTTGTGATTAAACTTTGTCAAAAGTGAAAGCAAGAATATAGGATGTTTTTCTGAATGATTGCATTTTTTGAGGTATGTTTTTCTATTAATTATTTAAACATTTCAATTTCATTTTGAATAATTACTTTTTACTAATTGCTTAATGATTATTAGTATGGTGTAATCCAGCCCATAAAGTAGTTGTTTCCCGCAGCACCAGCAGTTAGCAATCTTGCATGTGAGGTTGAATGTCTCCAGCACAAAATAACAACATAAAGAAATCAGTAGTTGTAGAGCACAGGGCAGATATAAGGCATATAATGGACCTAAGTCTCTGGCGAGAAATGAATTTGGAAACTTAACTGTAACAATAACAGACCGGAAGGTCACAGGCCAGTGTCTGGTCATTACACCAAATATAAATACCGAGCACAGGAATAAATTTACAGTTTACGAGAAGCCTACATTGACGATGTGGCAACCAGCCAGGACAATTTTCAACTGTTGACAACTGTTATGGGAGATCCCAACTATTTACTTAATGTGTAAAGTATTTGTTTGTTTCTATTCATATGAAAGGGATCGTGACAAATAGGGTTTTTCCTCCAAGCATTACGTTTTATTTCGATGTCAATGGTTCTTATGAATAAAAGGTGGCAAATGCTTTTACTACGAATGTTCAAAGCTAAACCTTCAATAACTATAATTACTTTCTTGTAACTATTTGTTTAATCTCAAATGGAAAAGCATTTGCTTTGGTAGCAGGAAAGTCAGCTGAATACAACTAGTTATATACTGAGTAGTTACTACCTATCTTAACATTTTCTTCGATAACTCTGTAGATGTCTTACTAGCAGACCTCATTTAGATATGGCACATCTAAACGTGAAAAGTATGGCATTCTTAAATCGTAACAGAGCCAACAACATGCTATAAAAAAGGGAAGACAGTCACGAGTGATTGTAAATAGCTTTTCCATTTTAGTGAAGAAAATGTGCATTGGTTAGCCATTCATGAATGAACAGCATGAAAAAAATAAAGTGCACTACACTGCACTACACGAGTTCTCCTGAAGGGCGTATTTAATATTGGAAAGTCATTGGGATTAAATAAATACAATGTCAAGTGGTAAATATAAAAAAAGTTTTAATTTTCTTCTTAGAAAGTAAAATACAATAGAAGTACTGGTTCCTACACGTAACCACATTTTGAAACCTTCTTAATGTAGTGACGCATATGTCGGCCAATTTTTCAAAATTCAAAATTGCGACCGACCAAATTTTCAAAAAATAAGACATTCGCGCCAAATTTGGTATCCGGGGGTTTTCGGGGTCCCTGATCACGAATCCGAGATAAGATTTTTACAAAATTCGTATTTAAAGATTTAATCAATTATCTATGTACTTTATTACCTGAGATTGGGCAGAAAACCCGTGAATAGATATTTTACAGACAAAATAACAAGATATAAAATTAAATTAAAACATGATTGGATACTCAGGTTATAAAGTAAATAAAAATATTACAAAATGAATTTCGCAATTCTGACCTCGAATACGTAACAGCGACCTCGAAACTCCCGTATACCGAATTTGGTGCGAATGTGTTATTTTTTTGAAAATTTGGTCGGTAGTCTTGTATCCGCCATATTGAATTTTGCAAAATTGATTCGTGATCAGCGACCCCAAAAACATCCGTATACCAAATTTGGCGCAAATCTGTTGAATGCTGTTGAATTTTTTGAAAATTCGTGATATCTGACCTTAATTGAAACGTTTTTTTTGAGGTTAGAAAAATTCTGACCGCTTATTCATATTTGGCGGGATCTTAACCATATAAATTAACATTTGCATATAGAAAAATTTTTTTCCTAGCACTTTTTCGTGAATTTTTGCTATTTCTGACCTGTTTTTTGAGGTTAGGAAATTCCTGTGATGTGATAGCTCAATTCTGACACCGTATACGTGATCAGGAGGCAAATTACTACAGGTAACGCATGTCGCATGAAAAGTACAGACAACTTTTCTTTTTTTTTGTGTGTGTGGCTGTCTTATCTTTAATTACATTGACTAATTTATAAAAATTGTGAAATTTATCTAAATTTGAGCGAAAACCATACTCGTAAATTAAGGTCTCAAAACATGATTTATTGAAAACGTATAATGTTATCAACTTGGATCTTTTTGTAAGATTTTTAAATGATTTAATGAATTGCAAGTTAACAAGATTTGATAAATTTTCTAGCCAACAAGCTATTTTAGCCCTTTAGGACTTTCATTTCTCAGGCGAAGTATCTAATCGAGTATAATATTTTTTTTATGAAAGAAAGTATAACCAAATTTGAAAAAGAATAAATCATGTGAGTTAAAGAAAGATTAGTCTTTTTTTTTTAAATTAAATGAAAGGAACCTATAACTATTATTTTTATGAATATAAAAAATTTTGTGTTCGTAATTTGCAGACATTCTGTTGACTAGCAACAAAACGCTCTAAATTTAAACTGACAAAGATTGAAATTTTAATTAAACGAATTATACTTTAGAGAAGGGGTCGGCAAGTCATTTTAGGTGGAGTATGGATAATTTTGAAAATTTTTAACTCCAGGTCCAGAAAAAAACTTATATTTCTTACTATTTTTTTTTAATTTGCATTCACAAAATAATATGAAATCCAATAGATAGGCATATTTGTATTCAATAATCAATGGGAGAAATTACATGTGCGGTCTTGAGTCAGTTCTTTTACTACCCTACAAACCATTAAAAAAAGATAAGGGTGGCACTCAAACGTATTGTTATCAACAGAAAAATATTTTTTATTTCTGACCGGGATATTATAAGCTTATATCGTCATAGTTACGCTATCAATAAAGAGAGTCATAACTCCCTTGGGGTATTATAGATTCTATAATTCCCTCTACCTTTCACAAGTAAAAATAAAATAAAAAATGGTAATATACATATATGTGTATATATTTATGAAATGAAAACTGAACCATATTTTATTTATTTGCGTCATTACAAATAATAAATGTACAATTTTGAAATGTTCCCTGAAAATTACTACCCCCACTGGAAATAATTTCTTCTTTTGTATGGCTGGAGCTTCTGTTCACTACAATCGAGGTACCTGCCTCTTCTAATGGCAAAGTATCCTCCAGATACCCCTCCGCCACCGTGGAACTTTTCCAACCTCCGTGTCTTTTTAAGTTAGTCATAGTTGCTCCTGCATTAGCTAGAACAGTAGCAGAAGTGCGACGAAGGCAATGTCCCGTATAGGAAGATGGGTTTGGCAATCCTAAATACATTGCGATTTTGCTGGGAATTTTCCCAAACATGTTTTTTCCAATTGGCTGAGATGTACATTTATTTTGTCGGAAGCGCAAAAAAAATCGTTCAATACCTTTAGGACGCAAAGACATATAAAGTCTTAATAAAGGCAAAGCAGAGAACTCTTTTTCATCCACAATTGTAAATTTCTTCGATACACCAGTTTTACTTTCCGGTACGTTCACTACCATAACGGAATCCCGGTCCTCTATATCCGATATCTTCATATTCAAAAGTTCCTGACTTCTGCATCCTCCAAAATAACCCATAATCAAAACAACCTAAAACAAAAAAAGGAAATAAATACACACAAAAAGGAAAATAAGAAAAAAATTACCTTATGCAATAAATGAATTTCATTAGGAGCGTTCTTTAGAAATCTGATAACATCATTAGGAGATAAAACAGCAGACTTTTTCGGCTTATAACTCTTACTCTTCCGTTTCAAAAAAGCCTCTAGTTCATTGAACTTGGCGATATCTCGTTTCTCATGTATATTCACCTTCGATTTTAGCATTGACCATTTAGTCCATAAAGAATTCGGACTATACGTTTCTGACTGCAACGAATAAACAAAATTACTACCAAATCTACCGAAAAACATAGAATATTCCTTACCAATTCTTGAAAATATGCCAGTAATACAGTTTCAGTGGCATCTTTTGGCATAACATTATTCCGTGTCAGCCACTCCAGATATATCTTGTATTCTTTTTGGTATACGGCTTCACTTTTCGATGGAATTAATGATTCTCTTGCTTTTTCAGCTTTTTTCAAAATCTGCTCCATTATATTTGGGGTAGAAAACACGTTTTTAACGCAAACACAGCTTGATAACAAAGTACTGTTTATAAGCAAGTAACAATTCTGTTTATAAACACGTAACATAGCAACAACCTAGCAACAACAAAACTCTTATAATCAATGGTACCTGATTCAAATATACTGGGAAGGTAATAAATTGGTACATTTTTTCCGTTTTAAAAATAAACAATATTTTATTGAAATCGGTCAGAAATAAAATTATCTATGTACCACGGGAATTAATGAGCCTTAATAACCTCAGGCAATTGCTGTCCCTAGGGCCGGACGCCCTCGGGACGCAAACTTTGCCATCGGTAATTAAGGCCCTTATAATTCCCTAGATACATAAATAACTATTATATAATTTGAGTAATTATACTTTCAAAAAATTTTTGGCGGTATAGTTTTTTACCTTCAGCGGTCCGGATTTAGACCTCGGTCTGCCAGTTGCAGATCGCTGATTATGGCATCTGCTACAATATCTGAAACATTTTAAATGAAGCAAATGCTTTTGCTACAACCTTTTACGTTGAACATTTGCTTTTACTTTTACTTTCTGCTTCTTTCTGTTTTATTCATGGAACCCAATGTTCTGCCTTGATTTGTATTCATTTAAATCTAAGCAAATGCTAGCGTTTTTTATAGTGGTAGTATTGCTTTCTTCTTTTTCACATAGCGAATAATAAGTTCAAAAAGTGGTGTACTGAATAGAGAATAAAGAAGTGAGCATTCATGGGCTTGCAGAAGAAAATAACTAATAAATATGATAGTACAAGATATAGAAAACAAGGGTTATATGGTTATCATTTACCATTTCATATATATTTCACATTACACTCTCGTCTGTCCCCTAAGTTTACTTAAAAAAGTAGATTTTTCATTATTATCGCATTGAGATATGCGTCTATCATTGTGGCCAGTTTCAGCCGCTTCAAAGATTCAAAAGGAATCAATACAAAATTGTCCTAGAGGAATGTGGGAATAAAAGACTAAGGTTATAACATTCTAATAGTGTTCATTGCAGTCAGAATACTAGCTTATACTATCAGCAATGAACGTTGTTACAAGTATTATTTTGACTATGTTCCTTCCAAAATACCAATTTGAAACCAAATTAATTTATTAACGGACATTTTTAAAATTGTAAAAGTAGCGAAAGAATAATGCTTGCTGTATCTTGGAAATAGTATTTGACATTTGGTAATGGTGTATAACTTTACACGCTATTCAAAAAAGTAAAAAAAACTAGGATGGATACTAAAAAAAATCACCGATGACGTCATTTATCCTGTATATAAACTTGCATTTTTTTAAGTTTGTGTTTTATACAGTGAGTTCCAAATTAGTAAGTCGCATAAGTTCGGTCCAAAACACGAATATTCGGGAATTCCGACTTTAGATTCGGATTGAGCGAGGGAATACACTGGTTTGACATAACCCACTAATATAGGCATGATAACAGTAACCAAGAATCCCTAAAATTATGTATTTATGTAATGAAATATGATTTATGGATTATAAAAAACGTATTTATTTTTATATTATGAGCGAGATTAATAATATTTTTGATAACATAAAACTACAAAATACAGCAAACCGCCATGATAGGTTGAACACCAATCAGAGCGAATTACGTCACATCTATGTAAATGTAATTTTGTTTCATTTGTACTTCGACAATATCCGCAGTATTTATCTTTGTTTAAATATTTTGTGTTTCCCAACTGTCAGTTTGTTTAGTTTTGTGTTACTAAAACCATAATTAGGAAACGTAAGGTATTTGAAAAGTTTCTAGAAGAAGGAAAGAAATGAAAGCCCAACAACTGCGAGTTAATAAAATATCAAAAAGACTATGTTTGTTATCAAAAGTTTATCCATGCATAAATTGGTGCTGAAATACAAAGAACAGTCATGCGACACATTTTTTAAAAAACTGATGAAGATGAAACGCGATAGAATACTGGAGGATGAAGTGAGGAAAACTATAAGTATCAGACTTGGGAAAAAATTAAAAAAAAAACGGTATAATGCTTTGCAAAAGCTAAGCCATGATAGCAGGATCGCCTGATGGAATCTGTGAAGACAGTATTATTGAAATTAGGTGTACCAAGAATATGAAGACTTTTAAAAATTATGTGGAAAAAGGAAAACCGACCCAGAAGTTTTAAGTGCAGACGGCAGCTACAAATGTATCTAACAGGACTTCAAAAGGGCTAATTTCGGTGTAGCTGATTGCAACTACAACAAATAAAAAAGTAAAAACAATTATTTTTACATTTGATGACAACTCTTCACCTTCAACTTTTAGTCTCTTCATGGAAAGATAATATGTGTCCATTATTATACCAAAGTACAATTTGAGTGTAAATAAAATGCATATACTATTATGGTAACTTTGTATTGTTATTTAACTAATGAATCTTGCAACACAAAATATTAGCACCTATGTTTACTGACATACATAGATGTGACGTCACGTAGACGCCATGACACCGACGACCGTTTTTGCGAGGGTTTGGTCTTAAAATTAAAATTTTAATGTTTTTCTACTAAACCTTTTATTTTCTACAGACATAAGATATTTTTTGGAAATAGTAAATACTTTCGAAAGTTTCGAACATCATAGAATAGTTTTTCAAAATCTGTCATCATGCCTATTGTGACGATGTGCTATTTTTAAATTTCTTGGTATCACTACTGACGCAAATGTTAATCTGTAGTGATAACATTTTACTTGATAAATGTCATCTTTCAGTAATATTGGACGAAATTCACACGAACTAAAAAATTAATTAACAGCTTACTATACTATAGTTCAGTTTGATTGAACATAAAATTGTATAAGAGAACAAACATACTGTTTCCAACTCGAGATAAATATTGAAATAATTATTCTTTCGTCCACAAATTAATCAAGGAAATATTTTTGTATCGATGGTAATCTCCATAAACATAAATTAATTATTATCTTTTAAAGTGATTTAATTGTATTTTATTGCAAAGGTCATTATGTTACATGTAAGAAATGATAGTTAAATATAAATAAAATATATTCAACATGAATAACTTTATTCCTTACGTAAAGTTATGCACAATGGGATGAATCTGCTATACAAGTGCTTAATACTGGACTAAAGTAGTTACCTCCCGGGCAATTCATAATGACAGGCTGCCCGTAGTTACATGTAATAAACCTTGTGCAGTCGTTTGGATAAGAAGTGACAAAGAATTGGCTAGGAAATTCTGCACATATATCTGATGGAGTTTTGACGGTTGTTGTTGGTTTCGGTTCTGGAGCTTTTGTGGGTTCTGGTTCCGGTGCTTCTGTTGGTTCAGGTTCTGGTGTTTCTGTTGGTTCAGGTTCGGGTGCAGCAGTTGGTTCAGGCTTTGGAACTTCCGTAGGTTCTGCTTCCGGTGCTGGAGTTGTTTCTGGTTCTGGTGCCTCTGTTGGTGCAGGTTCTGGAGCCTCTGTTGGTTCGGGTTCCGGTTCTGCAGTTGGTTCTGGTTCCGGTGCTGCAGTTGGTTCAGATTCTGGGGCTTCAGTTGGTTCAGGTTCGGGTGTCTCTGTTGGTTCAAGTTCTGGACGTTCCGTAGGTTCTGGTTCCGGTGCTGCAGTTGATTCTGGTTCCGGTGCATCTGTAGGATCTGGTTCTGGTGCTTCTGTTTCTGTTGGTTCAGGGTCTGGTGCTGCAGTGGGTTCAGGTTCCGGAGCTTCAGTTGGTTCAGGTTCAGGTGCCTCTGTTGGTTTAGGTTCTGGAGCTTCTGTAGGTTCTGGTTCCGGTGCTGCAGTTGGTTCTGGTTCGGGTGCCTCTGTTGGTTCTGGTTCTGGCGCCTCTGTTGGTTCAGGTTCTGGTGCTGCAGTAGATTCAGGTTCTGGGGCTTCAGTAGGTTCAGGTTCTGCAGCTTCTGTTGGTTCGGGTTCCGGTGCTACTGTTGGTTCTGGTTCAGGAGCTTCTGTCGGTTTAGGTTCCGGTGCTACAGTTGGTTCAGGCTCTGGAGCTTCTGTTGGTTCGGCTTCCGGTGCTGCAGTTGTTTCAGGTTGCGGAGCTTCAGTTGGTTCAGGTTCGGGTGCTTCTGTTGGTTCAGGTTCTGGAGCTTCAGTTGGTTCTGGTTCTGGTGCTGCAGTTGGTTCTGGTTCAGGAGCTTCTGTCGGTTCAGGTTCTGGTACTACAGTTGGTTCAGGCTCTGGAACATATGTTGTTTCGGGTTCAGGGGCTTCTGTCAGTTCTGGTTCTGGAACTTCTGTTGGTTCAGGTTCCGGTGCTGCTGTTGGTTCAGGCTCGGGGGCTTCTGTCGGTTCAGGTTTAGGAGCTCCTGTGGGTTCGGGGGTTTCAGTTGGTTCCTCGGGCGTTTCAGTGGGTGGTGCTTTTGTTGGTGGTTGTGTTGGTTTAGTACTTGGAATTGTAGGAGGTCCTTCTGTAGAAGTAGTTGTGACTACACAATTAACTACGTTAGGCCAGTCACAACTTAGTATTTTCGGATTGTAATGGGTTCCTGGAGCGCAATCCATTATTTGAGGTCCCCATGGCGCGCACATATAAAATCTTGCGCAGTTGGTTGGATCCGCCCAAGATATTTCATGTTGGCAGTCTGCAGTTGAGTATAAGGCGGCTGTAAAAGTAGTTTATAATTAAAAGCGTATAGAATTTACCTCTTAAATTATAATAAATATTCATTTATTGTCTACAATAGTCGCATATTAATTACATGGAGATGTAATGTAACAATTTTTTAAATAACGAATATAGATTTTCTATCTATATCAATCGAAGAAATATTGGAATATCTACTCGTACACACTTTAGTACACAATTAAAATAATTCATAACATCATGTATAGCAATACGTTCTTAGTGCTTAGTGGACATGGCAAATATTTTATTTTATTGAATGTTATAGACATTTAAGTCATAGAGGTTAGTTGTTTTCATACTATTTAAATTAATAATAACAAAATGGGAATAATTTCACACAGGGTCTAACTTTTAAGCGTTGATTAAATGTGTTTGTTTAATAACTGCAATTGTATTATATGAACAAATACGTAAAGTAAATACATAAATAGATTGTTTATGAAAATAAATCCATATTTCTGCTGCTTTTCCTGTTTCTGCTCATTTTCTATGGAAAAAGTAAAGAGAATGAAATTTGACAGACAACTTGCACTAATGAAATGATAGATTTTGACAGTTTATTTAACCCTGACATTTTATTATAAAGAGTAAAAGAAAAACAAGCCAGTTAATATTTTTCATCAGAACTTTTTAACATTCCTTTATTTAAAAATTTAATATACAAAGAAGGCTTCAATCTAAATCTTTTTTGTCTCTTAAGTTTTCTTCGATAAATTGTTAGTTAGCTCACACATGATGGCAAATAATGTGATCTGTTTTTGTTTTCTCTTAACACATTTGTAAGAACTAAAAACATCTTCCACAAAAAATGAATGCGCTTCAATGAAAAAAATTTTTTTTATTTAGTTGAACAAAATTATAAATTATAAAATACCACAATGAAAAGTAAAATAATAGGACTATTTGAAACAAACAATAAACAACAATAACAAACAAATAACAATGGTAAAAAATAGGACTAATAAAAATCATAAGAGATGTTCAAAATGACGTACTTCAGCGATAAAAATGTTATAGGAATTGGTTTTTATACACGTCAGGGCTAAAAAAACTGCCGCAAATTATCAGTATATTATTGCAAGTTACCCGCCAGATTTTATTTTTTTCCCATTTTCTGGGAAATCACCCCATAAAATATTTCATATAAATTTAGAAACATTTAAATATATTGATACCTGGAGTAACTGAGATAATACTATATACAGGGTGTCCGCGTTTTTTGTAGCAGGACTTTCACAACAAGTACTAAAAATCCTTTAAAAAAAAAGTTTATGTATAGATGCGTCGTTTTCGATTTACGGAGTGTTCAAGTTTAAAATGAGAATTGATTTTTTATTCGTAAAACGAAAACCCCTTTTTAGACTTTGTTGAAACTTGGCAACTTTGTCCAATTTTCTCCAGTGGCGTCACAACAAGACACAAGCTTGATAAAAATAGAAAAAAATATGGTACGCCACTACTTTTTGGTAAGTTTGAAATTTTTCTCAGATTTAGCTATCAAAAATACAACTTTTTTTTTATTTACTTTTTTTCTATCACGCTTTGTTTAGATAGAAATAAAACTTTCTGTTTCACACAGTTTATTGTAAGATAATAAAAAAATAAACAACACGGTATGGAAAAACAACTTATTGTATAAATAGACCTCAAAGGAGCTGTTCGAAATGCCCGCCATTTCGTTCTACACACAAATTACAGCGACGT